CCCTTCCCCTTCTCACCATCCCTCCCGTGAGCACACATCTTCTCTTGCCTGGTTTGGTGTTTCCAACTTGACGCCTTCTACAGTACCTCTCCCTTCCAAATCAGCCTCCCTGTTAGAGATTCAGTCATTTTTTCTATCATGCAAATATAAACATATCACTACCCTACTAAAAACCTTCCAGCCCCCGAGTCTGTGGTCTCTTGGGAACCAGGCCATCCAGCAGGGAGCGAGTGGTGGGCCAGCAAGTTCATCCTCACGTATTTACAGCCACTCCTCATCGCTCACGTCACCACCTGAGCTCCACATTCTGTCAGATCAGCGGCAGCATTAGTAGCAAATCCTACTGTAAATTGTTCAGGCCAAGGAGCCAAATCACACCTCCTCATGAGAATCTAATCCCTCCTCCCCACCCCTGCGTCCATCCGTGGAAAAATTGTCTTCCATGAAACTGGTCTCTGGTACCAAAAAGGTGGGGGACAATGTCCAGGGTGTATCCACTGGAGACAGAAAGCAGATGAGCAGTTGTGGGGGCTGCGGAGGAGGGGGAGTGGGAAGCCATGACTATCATGCGTGGTTTCCTTGTGGGGGACGAGAACTTTCTGCAGCTAGATAGTGGCGGCGGCACAGCATCGTGAAGGTACTAAATGCTATGGAATATACTCCTTAAAACGGCTCACAGGGCGATTTTATGTTAAGTGTATTTTACCCCAATTAAAACAAACAACCCTGTGGGATAAGGTGCAGCCCCCAGCGTATCACGTGGGACGTCATGGGTCCTACTAGTGTCTGCTTGTTCAGCCTCCCCCCCCCTCCCTCCGTCACACGTGGAAGCACTCAGAGGTCGCCGAGCATGCATGCACCTCACACATGCAGTCTCCCTGTCTGCAGTGCACCCCTCCACCCCCATCTGTCCAATGGCCTCCTCTACGACCCCCAAGAAGTCTCCCCTGAAATGTGCACACCAACAAGCCCAGTGTGAACTTCCCTCTGTATTCTGTCATCTAAAAAGGCACACGGGTAGAAACCTTTACTCCCAGGTCTGTGCATCTGTCTGGTTCCAGGGAGCATTGTATCATTTTCAAAAAAAAAAAAAAATGGAAAGAAGCTTTCAAGTGTTTGTATAACCCTGCTTAAATTCATGACACGGTTGTGACCCTCCCCCCTGTACCATCTGGAACATCTGGAACACATGAGCTGAGAGGCTTCGGCTCTCGTGTGGAAGCCCCAAAATATACCGTTTCTATCTGGAGAGGCTGAGATGAATCTTGTCACGTTTAAATGTGTAATCACAGCCCTGCCACATTTTCTTACACACCTCGTTGAGTTGTTGAGTGGTCTGTGTCCTTGATTTGTGAATGGTGAGTGGCTCGGCTGTAAACAATAGAGTGGTTTATTTCTCAGCACTCATAAATTCCCTGGCGAGGTTAATATCAGCAAGATGCTTTATGCGAATCTGCTGGAGAATGTACTTTTTGGGAGGAGTTTTGTGGCATGTGAAATAACCTTTGTTCTTTAACGAGCTTTTCTCTCCGATCTTAATGACACCATTTAGGATGTCATTGGGTCATTATACTTGGCAGCTCAGAAACTGAACCCAGGTCGGGTAGGTCACTGAGAGCAGGAGCGAGGACACCTGACCCCTTGACTTCTCCTTCACCACGTGTTACTGTGGCAGGGAAGGCGGGTGTGTGTGTGTGCATGGTGTGCGTGGGGGGAGATCAGATGGCCAGGAAGGGAGGTCAGGCTAGGTGTTAAATTTCTAAATCTGTTCTCCCTTGATGTAAAGAGAGAACTCCCTGGTTTGCCGCAGAATAGAAAAATTTCTAAACAGTGGTTCACAGTGAGTAGTTGGACCAACAGTATCAGCCTCACTCTGGAATTGTTAGATATGCAAATTCTCAGGTCCCAACGCTGGGCCTTCAGCATGGGGGCCCATGATCTGTTTTAACCAGTCCAGGTATTTTTTATGCCCATTCAATTTGGGGGACAACTGTTTCAAACAATGTCTGTAAGCCATGATTCTTGATGGGAGACAACTGAATGTTCTGGGGTAGTTAGGCTTCTATAGACATTTTGATTCTGGACTTTTAAGATAGTTAATTGTCAGAAAATAATGAGAATGACTAACATTTATTGACTACCGTCTCAGGCCAGATACTGTGCTAAGAATTCCAGGGACATGATTCATTAAATCCTCACCAACTCACAACTGCCAGAAGAGATTGTACTTCTTTCCCAAATGTACAAAAAATGAGATAGGGGCTCAGAGAGGTGGTATTACTTGTCCAAGTTCATACAGCTTGCTGTGTCTTGTCAGGCCCCTGCGCTCTGACCCTGAGCCCAGCCTGTAAAGCACTGTGCTGTCCATTGTTAGCTGCAGCTCTGCTTCTGGAAACAGAATGACCTTTAGCTCTTGGGTATTCAATTTATTGCTGTTCCAGACCATTGCTGCCAAACTCATTTCCAGTTGAAGCAGCTGGGATTTGTCACATACATGACTTCGTTAAGTGTCCTAAGCTGAGCTGAAGCTGCATGGAAATCACTCATCAGATCCCTGCCGAGGCTGGAGATTTGGATGAGAATCTGCAGGGAGAAAATTCTAGTGTAAGATTGTGGGACTGCAAAGTTTTTCCTCTAGAGTCACATGAAGGGTCATCAGACACATGTTTACCTTTAGTCTGTGACAAACAGTGGGACATGCTGGGTTTCCAGTTGCAAGCTTGCATACAAATAGTAGAAGGGATCTACTGTCATTGCGGCAAGGCACAAATGGCCACTGATCAAGGGTAGCATAACACGGAGTTAGTTCCCATTGGTACATGAAAGGGCAAGTCCAGTCCCACCTTGCAAATAGTCATCTGCCCTCCATACCTACATCACAGGGTGGTGGAGAGGTGGGTCAAAGGGTTCTACAATTAAGCTGTAAAATTAATTCAAAGGTAGAGAATTACTGTGCAAGTAGGAGGATTTGATTAAAAATACTGGTATTTGTTCTAGCTCATCATCTCACAACTGTGTGACTTGGACACCTAATAGTTCCAAATAGCACAGTCACCTCAGCGATGACTTGTATGGTGTTCCCCATAGTGGGTCAGTGCACGGCTTGTACAGCTGTGAGCTGCAAGGTAAAATTTAATGTCGATTGGACTTACCTCCCAGCAAGGTTGTAAGAAGGTGGGTGCTGGGAGGTGGGGGAGACTTTTAAATATAATAAATACACTATGCAGGGATACATTTTTGTCCTTCAGATTGTCCTCATTTCCCTTCAGATTGAGAAAGGTAAAAAGAACCTGGCCTCTTATGAAAGGCCTGGTGAAGGTGACTTTTTAAAAAAATTTTTTTTGTAGAGACCAGGCTGGTCTCAAACTCCTGCCCTAAAGAGATCCTCTTCCCTCTGCCACTCAGAGTGCTGGGACTACAGGCATGAGCCCCCATGCCCGCTAGGAAGGGGATTTCTAATTGCTGATTGTGAGTCAGCAGCTAGAAGTTACTGAAAGTCGTTTCGTTATCGCACGTGTTTACTTTCCTCATCCACTAGTCCTGTCTGTTCTCCTTCTATGCAAGAGGACCTCTCAGGCCACAAGGACCTCTCTGCATGTGACCTCCAATGCTCAGTCCTTGTCCTTTTGGCATTGAATCATGAAGCCTTCCTCTTTCCCTCTACTTGGAATGTTTACTGACAGTAGAAGCTTAATGAGTCCAGGGACCACTCCCCTTTCTCTGTACAGACCCCAGCTCACGATGGGCCCTGGTGTCGATGTGAATTCATCTCAACTAGAGATGTTTTAAGAATCCTTTATATGAGCTGACAAGAGCTTGGGTTACCCACGGGTATACATTCGTCAAAACTAGTACATGTCATCATATCATAACTTTACTCGAAAAAAGAAAATCTCTAAACACATATTGAACCCCAATTAATAATACGATGCTAAAGTATTTGGGGGCAATGTACTGCTGTCCCCATTTTATTTTGAAATGTGTCAAAAAGATATAGAAGTGAATGTTGGTGAGAGACTCTAAATGGTGAGTATATGAATTTTTTAAATGTGCTGTATGTTTGAAAATGTTTCATACTATGGTATTAGGGAAAGAAGATTGCTCTATGCTGTTCAAAACATGACCTTTTATGTCAGGAGTCAGGGTGGTTTTGTTATTTTGTTTTTTGAGAATTACATCCCCTTTATTACTGATAAAGGCTAAGATGAAAGGTATCAGTCAGTGTGAGGGATCACTGAACTGGCTGGCTGAATTAAGTAGGCATTCCACCTAGTTGCAGCCTGAGCTGGCCTGGGGTAGACCTGTCCACTTCAGGGGGCTAACCAGGTGAGGCTTAGAGCACAATGCTCCCAAGGGAGAGCCCAGGAAGGTCACTCCTAACAAGGATTTTCAAGTTTTATGTATACACATGAAAGGTGAACACAACTTTGTATAAACTTAACTAACTATACAATTTAAAATTTTTCCTATGTGAAGGTTTCTGTTATTAAAGCTATTAACAGGAAGACAGGCAGTGTATTCAAAGGCCTATCTTGGATGGTATCAATGGGTTGGTAGAAATTGTTCTGTATTTCATATAAGCTTGAAATATAACTTACATAGGAAAGCTGTAACCCAATTTTAGCCCAGGAATATGGGGAGAGGGAGGGGAGGGGAGGGGAGGGGGGATGGTGGGTGGAGAGAGGGTCATTGGTGGGATCACGCCTATGGTTCATCCTACAAGGGTACATGTGAATCTCTCTAATTGTAGAATATAAATGTTTTAACACAGTAACTAAGAAAAAGACATGAAGGCTATGTTAACCAATTGGATGAAAGTATTTCAAATTGTATATAGAAATAGTATACTGTACCCCATGATAGCATTAAGGCACACTGCTATGATTTAATAAAAAAATATATATATAACTTAATCTGAATTAAAAATTTTCATTTACTTAGAGTTTCCATGTCTCTAAATTTTGATTCTTCTTGTTTTTTTTTTTTTTTTCTTCTTTTAGGTAATTATTCGAGGTGGAGGACACATTTTACCCTATGATCAGCCTCTGAGGTCTTTCGATATGATTAATCGATTCATTTATGGACGAGGATGGGATCCTTATAGTTGACAAACTACATTTCTAAAAGAGAATATCAGAGGTTTTAATCCTTGAAAAGAAAAACATTGAAAAACAGAAAATGTCATATAAATAAGAAAATTATCTTTTTATATCTGCACAATGTTTCTCATCAATAAAGATTATCTTTGAAACAAGCAAGCTTTTATTTGGGGGGAAATGGTTTATTATAAAATTAACATGGGTGCATGAATAATAATTACATAATGTAACTTAAAGCATGAAAGGAATGGATTCTGTGACACTGCTTGCTACAGAGATGGAGAAATAAAATGTGGGGTCTTGAATACAAATTTTTAATTCCTACTAAGAGAGTAAAAAGTACAGTGAATAAATAAAATTATAGCAACATCTTTTCTGTAAGTTCTGTGCATATGAAGGTGTCTGGTAAATATTATTAGATAAGAATAGCTGAATTATCACCCCCAAAGAAATAGAAGGAATTATAATAGTTGTAGGGAAGAGAATCTCAAATGTTAGAAGTCTTAGTATGAACAAATTCTTTGAAATAGAACTTTATGTGTAAAAGATCTGGTGTAGCAATTCATAATAAGCAAAGGATCTTGTTCAGAGAACGTGCTAAATCTTTGTCTTTTGTTTTTTCTTTTTCTGAGTTTGTTAGCTCATTTGAGGTACACATACTTACCAAACAGCCTGCAGGCCACCTTCGTTATAAGGGTCATTTTTCATATAGGTTTTACATTCTCTACTTCTTTTCCCCAAGTAAAGAACAAGCTAATTTGGTATAATTGCTAGAAGACCAAAAAATTAAGATTTTTTTATAAATATACATATGTTAGCAATTTTCCAACTGAAGTGTCATATCCTGGCACACCTTGCCTGTTTATGCCTCGTGTGTTCACATTTCTTTGAAATTCTACAGCACATTTGGCATTTTCTACATCACTTCCCTCTGATATTATTATACCAATCTATGAATTGGCTCACTGGAGAATTAAATTTAGAAAATTAAAGACTGTTCTTGCTACAGATATTTTCTTGAGTTCTTTTAATTTCTCATTCTGTGCCTTGATTTCATTCAGGTTGGTGATTTTTCTTAAGACATATTATTCATTGTACCCATGACCCAGAAGTCATCAAATCAAATATTCTGATCCAAAGCAGATTTTAATTATTGCCGAAAATTAACCGAGGTGTGGGAGGGTACAGGGAGTTTTTCAAATAGCCTGATCTGCAAGTTAAATTAGCTACATTTGGTCCTCTAAGTATGTATTGGAAAGGGCACTGGGAGACAGAGATTTAGTTTCACCTGGGTCACACATGCACTGGAAGATTTTAGAGAAGTCACTTCTTCATATCAGCTTCTCAGTGATTCAAACAAGGTAGCCAGAAAAGGAGATTTCTAAGATTCCCTCCAGTTCCCTCTATCATTGGGAGAGTAGCTATTTATGAGGGTACTAGATGTTACAGTCAATCTTCACTATTTGTGGATTCTATATTTACGAATGAAGCCTGCTTGCTAAGAATGTATTTGTAACCCCTAAATTACTACTTGTTCTTTTTTGAGGTCCTGCACAGGGTGGCCAAAAAGTTGAGTTGCCCAACATACATGTTTCCAACTGAGGCTGAAGAAGGTGACACTCTGCCTTCTCCTTTCAGCTCTTCTGCGATAAACAAGTATCTTATTTGAAGTCTGTTTAGTGCCACATTTTTGATTTTTGTGCTTTTAGTGGTTGATAATGCTGAAGTACTGTCTAGAGTTCCTAAGTGCAAGCAGGCTGGATGTGACTTACAGAGAAAACACAAGGGTTAGTAAGCTTTGTTCAGGCGTGAGTTATAGTGCTGTTGGCCCTGAGTGCCTTGTAAATGAGTCAACAACATATATTTTAAAAGGAAACTAAGAAACACACATTCAACAAGGTTATGTATTGATCAGTTGACAAGAAAGTTGTGACCAAAGGCTTGAAGGAACCTAATCCTGTATTTCTCTTAGGAGCAACGGTTCAGAATTTGCTGAATCTTTGTTTGCAGAGATGTTACAGATCATAACTACGGTGAAACAAAAAAGAGAATCAACTGTGTTTATAGAGCACCTAGCCGAGGGACTGGCACAAATAATGGCTCAATAAATGGAGATCATAGATGTTCTCATTTTTGTCACCTCCCTGCCCTAGGTGCTGAGACAGCGGGGAGTGGGAGGGTGTGGGCATGACTTGCCTGGCAATTTCCAGGAACAACCCTGGCCAGCTCTTCTGAGGGTAAGTCCTATGGAGACTGAATCTGGCAAGTATTTTATTTTAAAAGAAGGGTGGCAAGGGTTGTTTGGAGACTAAAGAACAAATAGTTTTTTAATTTAATTAAAAAGAGTCCTTTGTGTAGAGACTCTCGGCGTGGACTGCATGTCTCTCCATAGATATCCAAGACAATCCACTGAGGTCCAATTCACTGAGAGAACATGTCTCAAAGTGAGAACAAAATTAAGCTTAATATTTAATGGTGGATTGTCACCATGCCCTCCCTGGGTCCCACGTGACTGACATTACTTTAAGTTCACAATATTCACAAAAAGACGGAGTTGCATAAAAGAGGGGTCCACAGAAGCATCTTCGCATCTTCTCATGGTTCTGGGTTCAGCATATTGCCAAGAATTGACATTCCTATAGGAGGTTATCAATGTGATCAATTTCATAAAGGCAAAGCCTTGAAATAGTAGGATCTTTACGGAACTTTGTCATTTGATGTGGAATGGCCAAGTAGAACACCTGTCCCTAGTGGTTACTTCGTGGCAGGGCATTTAAAGGAGCAGCAGGACCTGACAATGAGTCCTGGATTCTTTCTTGGACAAAAAGACAAGCATTGCAAACGTGCTGTCATTTTCTGTCACGGCAAGTGGCTGTTGTTAGTCTGTAACCTAGCATATATGTATATATATTTTAAAGTATACACATCATCTGCCCTTTCAAGGTAGAAGTGAAGCTTTCTCAGTAAGAAAGTTAATCTCTTTTCAAAGGAAACTGAATCTATGGCAAGAGCATTTTGAAAACAGATGTTTAGAAATGTTTCCTTCATACCGTATGCTTGAAAATTGCAACAGTGTCTCCGCATGAAAGATAGCTGGGATTGGAGAAGGAGTTTGGGGAATTAGTAATGCGCATCTCATGAGGCCTTTCTTCTATGCAGATCTACCCTTCTCTGGGAGGTGTCTTTTTCAGCCCTGATGGACTTTGAAATCAAGCATTCAAATAAACTGAACAGAGAATTAGGAAATGCAAAGTGTGCCTATCTGAGATATAATGTTACTTCAATAATATACAGCCCTATTATTAATATGTTTAATAATATTAAAATGTACCATGAATAAGAAAAACTAAATAAAAAAAATAAGCTGGCTCGGCGCCTGTAGCTCAACCGGCTAAGGCGCCAGCCACGTACACCTAAGGTGGCAGGTTCGAATCCCCAGCCTGGACCCGCCAAAAACAGCAATGATGGCTGCAACCAAAAAATAGCCGGGCGTTGTGGCGGGCGCCTGTGGTCCCAGCTACTTGGGAGGCGGAGGCAGGAGACTCGCTTGAGCCCAGGAGTTGGAGGTTGCTGTGAGCTGTAATGCCACAGCACTCTGCCCAGGGGGACAGCTTGAGGCTCTGTCTCAAAAAAAAAAAAAAAAAAAAAAAAAATAAGCTGAACGCATTGCCAAATGTTTGAATTGCCATATTACAAGAGGGGAACCCAAGATTTTCTGAAAAGGACAAAGCCTATTAAGCACATTGATCCTATTACAGAAATTAACAGTAATGTGTCAGAAAGCAAAAGTCTTTTTTTACCATTAAAATCAAATACGATTTTTAAAACTTCAGCATTTTAAATTTCATCCTTAATCTTTTGCAGTTTCCACTCTAATTAAAATTTCATAATGTGACTATTGTCAGGAGAACAGCAGCGTGCTTAGACTTTACAAACGAAGAAATAATTACACATACCTTGGGTAGGCCTTTGGCAGTTGTTTAATGATGGAGTTGGCAGCCAGAAGGTTTGGGGACCACTGTTTGAGGCAACAGAGAGTCTAAACCAGGCATCCTCAAACTGCGGCCCACCGAGGACATTTATCCAGCCCGCCGGGTGTTTTTGCTGCTGCTGCCTGTCCTGCTTAGCAGCCGACTCATCCTGGGCCCGCAGTCCGGCCCTCCAATGGTCTGAGGGACAGGGAACTGGCCCCCTGTTAAAAGTTTGAGGACCCCTAGTAAACTTATTAAGCAGTCTTAAACTTTGTCATATTAGAAAAAGCAATGCATCTAACAGTATATGATGCTTTCATTTATATGAAAGAAAGAAAAGAAGGGAAGGAGGCTCACTCCTCTCTCCCTCCCCCCACCCTCCCTGAATTTCCACAGCTAATGGCAGAGCCCACCATGATTCCAACCCAGCGCTCTGCTCCTAAACCCCGATCTCTTTCAGTTGAGATACCCAGTGTCCTGATCCCTCAGCCCTTCCTCACCTGATGACATCAGTGGGTAAATATCTATGACTCTCATCTGGGGAAGAGGGTTTGTATCATCATTAACAGTGGTTTTTATTTTGAAAGTGGTGTAAACCAGATTCCTGGAAATGTTTGATGGAGTATCTGCTCTGGAGGCTCCAGGAGGAGCAAACGTGAATTTGAATTGTGATTCTCTATTAAGGACTGAGAGCCTTCATTTAATTACTTATTCATGTGATGTTCCCAAGCTGTCTCTTCTCATGCCACCAAAAGTTTGAAAGGTAGGGTCAGAAACCAAGGACTGGAGTCTTGTGACAAATTGTTTGACTTAAACCCTGATTTACCGAGGAAAATCTGGTTGTTCTCTTTGTTTCAATCTGGTGAATAACAAGACTCCTGCTTTGCTGCTAATAATATATGGGCCGTGGCTGTGTCAATTTTATGCCACTTAAGCCTCTGGGTCTAAACTCAGAAACCATTTCATTCTTCATGTTGGGCCCTTTGAGGGGGTGACCTCTGCTCATGGAGGCCAACTGCAAAGATGACTGGAAGAAGC